GCAACATGTTGCGGAACTGAAAAAATGACAAATATGAAAAAATGACAATGACAATGACAAATGTGACAGTGTCAAATGACAATGACAAAAATGACAAAATTAATGACAATAATACCAAACAACAATCAATACCAAAACTAACATAAACGATCTGATTTGCCATATTAATATGTCCATTGACCGTGTCCCTCTGGTGAATCGCCTCCGGCCTCAGTTCCTGCAGTGCCGTCTGCGGGAAGAACATCTGGATATTCTTACGACTGCTCAACGCCTTCTCGTAGACTTTGGCCGCTTCCGACGGACTGTACTCTTGAATCTTACTGCAATCCACTCATTATTATTACTATTAATAACACTACATAATAATAAATAATATACAATTAATTACTTATATCACAGTAATAAAAAGTAATAAACAATAAACATAATAACAAACATTAACAATAAATAATAACTCACGATTCGCTTAACGAGTACAATTTCATCAAAAAATTCTTCAAATACAGCAACAGGAAACACGCTTGACTGTTCTTCATGCATTCATACAATAAACTCTTGTCCTCGGGCAAGCGTCCTGCAAATTCACTCATTACTTTAATTACTCTTAATTACTCATTACTTTTAATAAATAATCATTTATAACAATAATAATAAACAAATAATAACAATAAATAATAAAAACAATAAATAATAACAATAGTAAACAATAATAAACACAAAACAACCAACTATAAATCAATCCCGGATCGAATTCCGCGTCGTCATCCAGCGGCTCGGCGTTCAGCGGACGTGGCATCAGCTGTGATTTGAATTGATTGATAATGTTTTGGCCACTGATCGATACGATCGATTCGATCTGACNAACATCGCCAAATTATCCGCCACGAACACCCACTCCTCCAGTGATAACTTCTGCAATTTATTAAATATTATTTATTATTATATATTATTATTATATATTATTTATCACTATTATATATTTATTATTATTACTGCCACAATTCCCCCTATTCACACCATACTTATTCTATCATTATCATGACGTCATCTACCCATCAATAAAATTTTCTGGCAAGTTGCCAATAATGACACGCTCGACGCACACGCCGCGCTTCGCTTAGGCCCATCTCAACGAAATATTTACCGCTCGCTATTAACTGCTAGCTAGCTAGCTAGCATTCGCACCGTCCTCGAACCTAAGCCCTAAGTCCCGCCCACTCAAACACAAGCCCCGCCCACACATAAACAATAATACAAACAACATAATAAGCAAACAACATCACAAAAAAATAAACCTCTCTCGAGTCCTCCGAAAACAACCGCAGCACCGAAGTCAAAAAGCTCCGTCTCTGCTGTCTATTGACCCTCAAACTCTGATACAGACCACTCAGCAGCGCCTGTCCCTCGTTGCTCATCTTCGGCACGCC